TTGGCATGGAAGTAGCTAAGACAAAAAGAGGAATAAGTGTATCTCAGCAAAAATATACACCGAACCTCCTAAGGAAAACTGGGATGTTGGGTGCATGACTTGCTAACACTCTTATGGAGCTAAATCAAAAGCTAACAATCAAGCCAAATGGTGAAGTGGTAAACAAGGAGAGATATCAAAGGCTGGTAAGGAAACTCATCTATTTATCCCACACTAAGCTTGATATTTGCTATCTGGTTAGTGTGGTCAATCAATTCTCAAGTAACCTTCAGAAAGAACACCTGACAATAGTTTACAGAATCCTTATCCTAAATTTTATAGGATTTATAAAAAAAATGTTAGAAAAATAATAATATTTTATTATTATAATAAAATAATAATATTTTAAGTTTAAAAAAAGGGAAGGAGTCAATAAAGTCAGTGGAAAGCGGATAGAATAAAGAAGAAGAAGGAAGCTGAGGGTTGGGAGTTGGCAGATGATTTATTAGGGGAAAGCTCCCCCTAATAAATATGTGGGGGTGTTAAAATAACACCCCACGTTTTTGTTTTTGCCACGCAAGGAGAGGAAGAGAGAATAGTGTGTGTGAAAGAGTGAGAGGAGCATACCAATGAAAGAGAAGGCAAGCTTTGAAGATAATTTAGGTATATAAAATTACTTCTTTTCATCAAACTTTCTTCATAAATATTTTCTCTATATTTTACGCTTCCTAATAGTAGTATTACTATAGTGATTAGAAAAAATTTTAAGACTTATATGTAGGATAAGTTTCAAGTTTTGGTAATAGGTGACTATAGAAATTTAGAGATAAATGAGTTGTTAATTTTAATCAATTTAGTTTTGTCCATTTGTTGGTTTTTAGTACTTAAATTAATTTTTCTAGTTGAAAAATCTGTTATATCTGATTTATATTATATTTTTACTGATTAAAATTAAGTTAAATAATTTACTTGAGGTGTTTAACATATTATTGAGATTTTAATTAGTTTAGTTTTATTTATGGGATGACTGGAGGTTTTAAAATTATTATTTTAACTAAACATTTTATTATTTATGAATATATATATATGTGATAGTTATACCATTAAAGTTTTGATTAGATTATTTATTTATAAATATTTGAAGTATTATTGAATTTTGATGGTTTGATTTTGAGGTTTAAACTTAAAATGAGATTTTTAGAATTTAGAACATAATAATTTTATATTTGAAAATTTTGAAAAATCCTTTTTATTAAGGTAAATAATTCAGAGGTTCTAAATAAATAATTTGGCTTGTTAGAAAATTATAAGTTATTTCTAAAATAATTAATTTTGGATTATGAGAGTTGTGAGAATTTAGAATAAAAATTAAATTCAATTAAAAATTTAAATAATATAGATAAGCTTAATTAATTAATTAGTTAGTTAGCTTATATTAATATGTGGTTATATTAATTGTGTAGATTAATTATTAGTTGAACAAAAGATCGACCTTGTGGTAATCCTTTCTATTGGTTTGGCAAGAGGTAACTATTTTTCACTTGTTATATGTGCTAATATATTGTTTGTGAGTATTTTGCTATTTTAGAATAATATTTGTTATTTGATACTCGAGTAGATATGTTATATCTTTTGAGCTATGAAAATTGTCTTGTGGGATTTTTAGAATTGTGATTGAGAAGTTTGGAAAAGATATATGATTTATATCTTCTGAATTATACTGAGAAAAGATTGAGACCTTTTTCGTTATATTGTGGATAATTGGTTGTTATTTGGAATTTGGATTGAGTCCTATCCTACCACGTGATAAGGCCGCTATTGATGCACATTGGTTGGCTTCCTTTGTCCCCAGAGTAAGGGATAGACCTTTGTGGCTTCTTATTCGTCCCTTAAAATGTAGGATAGGCTTATAATAATGGATTGACCTTTGTGACTACTTATTCGTCCTCCAAAGAGTGGGATAGGCCTATATGTCGGATTAATCTCCTATAGTGAGGGATAGACTTATGTGGCTTGTGTTTTAGCCCCCGTAATAAGGGTTTGGATGATTAAGATTATTTGAAAATACATATTTTATTTTTTCATTGATATATCTACATATATTGAGATTTAATAACTGTCCCACTTGATACCTTACGAGCACATGTTAGTATGTATGATGAGTTGGAAAGTTAGTTACTGAGGCATTTGTCTCACCCCGTGATTTCTACTATTTTCAGGTGATATTTCATGTGGTGACCAATCAGGGAAGGCTCCGGAGGTATAGAGTGATGTTATAGCTTGTATAGCCTCTCTGCTTTTGTTTTATGTGCTGATTTGTTATATATTATCATATAGGACTGAGTGTAAAATCCCTCTTGGAGGAGAGAGCTATGCAAACGCTTGGAGCAATCAATTAGGGAGTTTTAATTATGTTCTTATCTCTAATTTCAGTTTTGCATTTTGGTTTATCTTAGTCAAATAATTGGATTGTGATTCTGGATTTATTACATTATAGTTGTAGTGTAGTTTGGGATTTGAATATTGAGTTTGATAGTTGGGCACTTAGTTTGTATTGTTTAATTCTTAACTTGATTGCTTGATATTGAATTGAGTTAATTTAATATTAATCTTTTGAGTTAAATTGCTGTTCAGTTTTACAATGACTGAGATTGTTGGTTTTGATTGTGCACAGTTGTTTTAATCTCTTCCAATGGAGCTTAATGAGGATTGCTAATTCTATTCTGAACTCTTTTAGTTAAAAGGGTTTTTGTTATATGTTAATTAATCTAAGTTTAAGTAGTTTCTTAAGCTAATTGATTTATTGGAAATTAAAATTCTATAAATCTTTTGAAGTAAGGAAGGCATGGTTTAAAGCTCTAAAGGGGAATTCATTTCAATTGCTATCGCTTTCATCAAGTATCTTTCATTTTTTAATTTTAATTTACCTTTTCACTCTGTTTATAAAAGAAAGTCTAAAAAAGAAGTATTTAGAATTGCTTTCAATTTATTTGCAAAGTAGTTTTTAACTTTTAGATTTTAAAATTAAAAAAAAACCTTTTTAATAGTAATTTTGATTTTAGTTAATTTAGGACCTAGTTAATTTTTTGTTGCAATAAGAGAACGATTTTGGTTTGTATCACTTACTGCATTCTAAATTGAATTTAATTTGACCCCACTGTGACATCGAGGATCAAAGTTTTAAATTTTTCATTTTTTAAATGTCTTATACTATTGTCAATTTGATTAACATTTTATTGATGCTTAATTTATATCATGTAAGATTATCTTAGTTGCCATCTCAATGATTGTGCAGCAATAGAAAAATCTGAGCTTAATTTCTATTTGGAAGAAGCAACATTTAATCCTCGTGTGTTTTATAAATTGAATGTATTGGAGTATCGGAGGACTAACTCAACTTGAACTCCTTGTCTTCAAAAGATGGCAGGTGATATTCTTAGTATATCAATCATTACAGTGGCTAGTGAATCACTTTTTAGCTGTTCATGAGTTTTCCCAAAGTATTGAAGTGCCCTTTTCTAAGAAAATATTTAAGCCCTTAACTGCAACCGTAATTAGATTATGGATTTTCCATCTAGTAATGTAATTATATTTATTCATTTATCTGTAATAGGAATAGTTTGCATTATTTTAATTATTATCATATATTTCTTTCACTTTTTTTAATTATTTATTGCAGATGAATCTAAGCGAAAGGAAAGTGTTGCTGCCACTAATGTAAAAGTCAACATTGAACTAGCTTCAAACAATACTTCCACTTCAAATGTCATTGTCATTAGAGATAATTAGATCAAGACGGTTATGCATTGTTGCATGTTGATTTCACTGGAAAAAAAATGAGGGGGAATGACAGAAAAAGAAGTTGGAAAATACAAATCCCAAATTAGGTTTGGTAATACAACTTTATTTGGTATTGACAAATCTGAATTTGCAAATGACAACAAATTTTGTTGACATTCCTTGTTTGGCATTTACAAAATTCCAGCTTCTTTTTTTATCATTGTTTCAAAAAATAATGTTTGAACTTGTGTTTTATCATATTTGGACAATCACATACGTTGTTTGTATTTTAATGTGTTGTAATTTTATTTGAATATTGGTAATATTTTAAATTATTTGTATCATCTTAACTTTTGATTATTTATAACTTAGTGCTAACATATAAAAAAAATAGTGCTAACATACAAAAAGAAAAAAGAAAAATGAAGGAAAAAGAGTATATAATTCTGGTTGGTTGGTGATGGATTATGATTAGTTGAAAACCAGCCTGTCAATAAACAGGCCTTTTCAACCCACACCGAGTAACCCGTAGTCCATCATGAGCCAATCCGCAGGTATTACTTTGGGATGAGATAGGATCATGGGGCTTGAGATTCTTTTTATGAGCACAGTTTATGGTTTATAATAATCACAAATCAAATAAACAGCTTGTATTAATATGATTGAATGAAAAATGACCGAAACCAAGAATTATTAATTAAAAATAGTAAATAAGAAAAGTAATTACTAATTAATTTAATAATTAATAACTCAATAATTTTAATTACAAATCACAAATTCATAATATTTAAATAGTTAATAAAGAGATATAATGAACAAATTAAAAATATTAAATATAATAATTAATTGATAAGCTATGATACAACTCAATAGCTAATTAATTAAACCAATATTTAATTACTATGGTCTAATGCATTAGCTGCCCCTCTATGTCTAACCACTTCGATCTTTCCAAACCCATAGATAAATTAATTGTGAGATATTCGAAACGTATGAAACAATAATAAACAACTTACAAATTGACCACTTCTCTCCATTCATTTCTGCAGACACAAACAAGCATATCTGAGAGAAGTTGCTCAACCTACATCATATCCCAGTGGTGAAGCAAAACCATGCTACCAGTAGAGATGTTGCACTCCAGTTTGTTTACTCGGAGGCATATGTTTACGATATCATTTTTAAATTTTATGCCCTTTTAACTTGTTCTTACTTTTGCCAATTTATCATATCCTTCTAACTTGTTTTGAAAGTCCTGAGATCTCTTTCTATTGGGATACATGATTGAGTGTTCTACATGCACATTGATAATAAAAGGATTCAAAAATTTTACAAAGTACATTCAATAAAAGTAAAAGCCATATATACTTGGCAAGCCAGCGTACATATTCATGATTCTAAATTCAAATGCCTCGCAGGAATAATAGTACTTGTATTGGTAGAAGCGGTCAAATCAACTAGAGTTGGAGGCACCTTTAGTTTATCTACTTCTCCTTCCAACATCTGTACCACTGTTTTCATGGATGGACGATTTATTGAATGCCACTGAATGCACCAAAGTCCTACAATTGCCAGTTTTTTAGCAATTCTAATGTCAACTTCATCTTCTGTAGAAATAATCATGTTTTCTCCTTTGATCAAATTATGAATCCATTCTGGATATAGAACTTGAAAAGTTTCTTTGTTTGCATCAACATTTTTCCTTCCGCTGACCATTTCCAAGAGTAGCATCCCATAACTATAAATATCTGATTTGTATGACACATGGCCAAAATTTGGAAAAAAGACTTCAGGTGCAATGTATCCTAAAGTTCCTCTTGCTACTGTCATTGACACCATACTTTGATTTTTAGAACACAATTTAGCTAGACCAAAATCAGAAATTTTAGGGGTGAACTTGTCATCTAACAACACATTGTGAGGATTGATATCAAAATGGAGAATTCTATAATCACAGCCTTGGTGAAGATATTCAATCCCCTTTGCGATGCCAAGAGCAATCTGTTGCAGCTTCGACCACCCGAGGAAATTTTCTCTGTTATCTTGGGAAAATATGAACTTTTGGAGGGAGCCGTTTGGGAAAAAGTCATAAACAAGAGCTCGATGAAAACCATCAGCACAAAATCCCAACAAACGAACAACATTGATGTGATGAATTTGGCCCATTGTCCCCATTTCATTAATGAAATCCTTTCCATCATTATCTGAATTATTGAGTACTTTGACAGCAACTTGAATTTTAGCAGATAGCTTACCTTTAAAGACTGTTCCGTGAGAACCTTCACCTAATTTATCCTTGAAACTGTGTGTGATTCTTTTGATATCAGCGAAAGAGAATCTGGTAGGTTTAAGTGCCTCGTAATTCTTCAAAAACTTTTCAAGTCTTGCTTGATCATCTCCTTTCTTCTTGAAGTAGCGACATGTGTAAACGCACACGACCAACAGCAAAACCAGCACAATCGAACCTAGAGTTATGTAAGCACAACAAATGAACATTCAATTTCAATCCAAGCCAGAATCTAATGAATTATATTTTTTAGGGGAAAAAAATGGAAAAGGAAAAGCCTATTATCGTCTCACCTGTTCCGGGCAAAACAATTCTGGGCATCTTGCTGGTTTTATGCTTATCAACTTTTTGTTGAATCCATTTGAGTCGTAACCGGTTCCCCTGAAGATGCTCTGCCGGTATGGGCGAATCTAACCGAATTCTCATGGCGCAGGAAAGTAGGTCCCCGGACAGGACACTGTCATGGGAGCCAAGGGCAAGAATTGGGCAGGACTTGGGCGTATATTCCGAAGTAGCCGAAGAACAATCGAAGAAAGTAATATTTTCGGTCATATTGTCAGTATCATACTCTAGAGGATAAATACTGGATGAATTATAGAGATGGTTTTGGAGAAAGAGCATGGGAAGACATTGTTCTGGATCCTTTACTTCTAAGATATGGGATTCATTGTTTATATCAGAGACAGAGAGACTGACTCCTTGAAGAGCATGAATAGACGGAAACTCAACCATGTCCCCATCTTCTTTGAGACGGAAAGGAAGAGTTTCATTATGAGGCACCTGCTGGTGGTTCTTACCATTCCCTTGTTTCAGAAGGCGCACCCATACCTGCAATATCACCAACAACCAAAATCTGCGATGCGAAAACATTGCAACCAAAGGATTTCCTTTTGAATCTGAAGCTTGGATTGAGATTCCTATCTACCTATTTGAATAGGAGTAATTGTTAGGAGACACGTCGTGTATCACATTCAAAATGGAAGCAGGGGAAGTAGGATGAAACTTCGAAGGTGACTGTGGACCCAAATAGTTTGCCGTGGCCTTTGGGGCTCCTTACTGAAAGCCACAGCTTCGGATTGACCCGAGATTTCTTTTTAATTTAATTATCAATCCCTTTTAAATTTCCGGAAAAAATTATTGAATTTGCATTTCCTAATCTAAGGGAAAATGGAGGAACATAACAGTTAGTCATATCGTCCCAGTTAAATCATACAGCAGGCGAAGGAAGATGGAAGGAAATATCATCAACATTCAGAGAGAAAGCCGGTCAAAGGAATTGTAAAGAGAAGTCATTAGTCAAACAGTGAAGTCAACTTTGGACCAAAATACAAGTTAGCCGCGCGGAACTGGAAAAAGGAAAAGGTATACGGAGCTGCGTTTAATCAGAAGGAAAGTAAGTGATTGAAGCTCAGAATCAAGCGGTGGAGCAGCTGCACATCATTCTGAAGTCTGAACGATGGACAGAGAGAAAGGCTTGAGGTGTTGGCACCCGTTGCTGGTTACCCTGCTTCTACTATACGGACTTACGAATCTACCGTACGGACTATCGAAGTCTCGAGAGCACCCCCAGTTCTGCGTTCCGTCTCGGTGCGGCAACATCACAAACATCGGACGTCCATTTCGACTACCAGATGACCCGCCTAACTGCGGCGATCGGATCTACGAGCTAGTCTGTGATGACAACGTCACTTACCTTAGTTTACCTGATGGAAAATACCGGGTGCTGGGAATAAACTACGACAACTACACAATCCGACTCTTAGATGAAGGCATTCAGGAGGGTACTACCTCCTCCCTCCCTCTCTATCCCTTATCCATATCCAATTTCCACTCTTTCGTGTCTCCTCACGGGTCTTATGAAGATAGCAGTAATCCCTATAGCGCTAAAACCCTAAACAGCAACAGAACTGAATCGATAATAATCAAGAAGGTGGGGTACCTGAACTGTAGCGATGCAGTGAGGGACGACGCAGCGTACGTGGATACGGCTCTGTGCGTGAATTGGCAAGGAGGCCATCTTTATGCTGTGGCTGGAGACTTGCTGGCTCCCCAGTTTAAACCTCAGTGTCGTCTGATATCGGTGACTTTCATTGCCTCAGATTGGGAGTCATTGGTGCCTGGTAGAAATAAGTCCTGTGCTAATATTCACAAGGTGCTTTCCTATGGATTTGAGCTTTCATGGTTGCCACGAGCCTGTGCTGATCTTCGTTGTCCAAATGGCACCACATGCTATTTCAGCCCTGAAATTAAACGTCTGCAATGTCTACCTCGGCCAAATAATCGGGAATGCATTACCCCCTTCGGAATATCTTCCAATTGCCGTAAGTATCTGTTTCTATTTCAATCAGATTATTGGATCCTATCTTCTTCGCTTTGCCCTAAAATGATCAAATTGGCGGTAGATTTTGAACTCTCAAACATCGGCCAGTTAATAATGGGATACCAACAAATACTTTTAAATTGACCCAATATTAATTGAAAGATTGCATTATTTGTAACTAAAAATGTCAAGTTCACAATTTATTTTTTTAAAAAAAGATTGTTTAAGATTCTTTTTGCCTTGAATTTTGTTTAAGATTTAACTGTACTATTTCTAAATTATAAAAAATGAATTTAATTTTAGTTCTTAAATTGAGAAAAATAAAAAAAAAATTAACTATATACTATCCTTAATATTATAATTAGATAACTAATTTGAAGATATTAAAAAAATTAGTTAAGTTAATTATTTGTTACAAACATATTTTGGTATTCATAAACCGTCTTCTTTAATCATGTACATTAAGTTATCTCAATTATCTTTTAGTAAAAAAATTTTACGATCAATAGAGATGTTTTGAGAAAATTAAGACTCAAACTATATTGAAATTTTATATTTATAATTGAATTCAACTCCTAACTAACTTTTTATACAAACTAAGGACCTGAGGTAGTATTAGATAATTAATGTGTGTATGTTCTCCCCAGTCCCCACTTAATCAATGATGTATCATTAACAGAGATCAGATTTAATAATTTGTTGGCCTGAATTAATCAGTCAAGATAAACATAATGTAATTAAATTTTAATGGATTTTTATTCACTTGGTTCTTTTTTCCCTGGTTATGACGCAGGGGTGTCAAAGTTGCGCATAGTTGCGGAAGGTAAGGTAACATTAGATAGCGTTTTTGGTGAAAACAATCAAGAAATTTGGTGACAGATTAAATCGGCTAATTTACAATTTGAAATATCCAATCAATATTTTAATTATTTTGAAAAACCAAGACCAATAGTTTAGTTTTAATTCCATCAAATAACTTCTTATTGAATTTAATCATTCAATTTACTATCTACTTAAGTTATAAGTCTCTTTAATTTTACTTCTAAATATTATTGAATACATGCACGTTAATTATCAAAATTAAAAGATGCAGTACATTGGCATTCTTCATATATAACCCCTTTTTCTCCATTTCCATTTTATTTTTGTTTAATTTTAAAATAATGGAGGATAAAGGATTTCTTATCTTATTTCAAATTTGCAAGGCAATTTATCTCAAGATTCACTTTTTTTTTTTTGGGAGGGGGGGAATAAAATGTCGATATGCGCTATTAATCAGCGAGTGCGACAACATATGCAAGATAAATCTGTACCATTTAAATAAAAAAAATTACTTTATTAAATATTTTCTTAAAAATGGTAGTCTCCTGAAAAATCATCTTATATTTATTATGACATTTGCATTCATTAAATTAAATTTATTTTACTTTTTCTCCATCTTGTTTCATTTTGGATAACAAAAAATTTATCATGTTTTTTGTCTAAAAAAGTCGTGTACTTTCAAAGATTAATTTATAGAATATATACTATTATAGATTTGAAAAAGCATGCTATTTTTGTTTAATTAATTTGGTATTTTAAGTGAAAATCTTAGGACTCCCAAGTTTAGAAACCCATGTAAGTCCCATGCTTCCGTCCCTTTGAGGGGGGAAACAAAACCAAAGAAATGCAGGTTCCATGCTCTGTAAATAGAATGACTTGTTAAGTTTAGCGGTCTTAAAAGTAAATATTGAATTTGGGTTTTTAACTAAAAAATAAAGAAAACATTAAATTTTTTATTTATTTTGTTTTGTTTGTTAAGAATTGTATATATATAATCTCCAATTAAGAATTGAATTTAGTTATAAATATAATACATTAATACATTTTGTCTCCCAAATTTATTATTTTTTTTTAAAAGATGGGACATCAAGGAGTCACACTTATGATTAAATAAAATAAGAATACCAATACACATTTGTTACACACAACAAATTTAGCTAATTTTTTTTAAATATCTTTAAATTAATTATCTAACTTTTTATGAGGTAATTTTTTTTTTTTTTTGCTATGCATAAGTATCCTTTCATGGAAGGAAACCCTATTTAAAGCGTGACTAAGCACTAAATATGAGCACTTCCTAATAAAAATTTGAATCTTAATTTGTCACGTTATGAGAAACTTTAGCTAAACCAACCACTTGGTAATATGTAGATTATATTACTTCCAGTTCTAATTATAAGATATTATTTATAAATTATAAATAAGATTTTATAATTAAAACAAGAAATAGTAGACTATGCAAGCAGATTTCGTGATTCCCAGAGTTTTTCGGCGGTGTGTGTGTGGAAAAGAGCCTACCAGCTTTATTAAAAGGAAAAAAGAAATATTTTCATCCATTGTCATCCATCAATCTTTACAGTTTTTTTTTGTTTTTTATCTGGGGGTCAAGATCTTTACAGTGCTTATTTGATCGTGTGCTGTGCATTATTACTGTTGTTGATTTTTGTAAAATTTTCTTTCAGATTTCATCAACGGAATTGCAACAGGTAACGTTCTATGATTCTCAGCATACTTATTCTATATTTCTCTTTCACAAATTTTCTTTGTCATGGTCGTGACCTTTTTAATGTATTTCTTATTTTTTTTAATTCTATAATAATTTGTTGAATGCAATTATAGTAGCAACTGAGTTGGCGTTCATACTAATTGTTTGCAGTTCTAGCATCTGCATTTGGTTGATATTTTCCAATTTCCGTAAGTCTGGTTAAAAAGAAATAACTCAATTATTCTTTTTCCTTTTTTGTGGGGTGGGGTCAGGTGGAACATACAATTATTTAAGCCCAATCAGAAGGCCCAGACTAAATAGATTAAAGCAGCCCATGCCAACCAAAATGATTAATATAATATAAGATTTACTTTGTAATATAATAATTATTTATCCTAGTAGTTATTTATCGACATTAAAAAGTTCAGGAAGTATATTATTATGTTCTAAAATTGATGTGAGAGTTTTATAATTATATCTCAGATTAATGAGAAAAATATAGTCACTATTCGAAAGAGTTTTTTAAATTTACTACCTCTGGTCCTCAATATAGGAACTAGTTGATTAATTTGAGTAGATTAATGAAATAAGTTAAGTTAGTTATTTATAATAAATAGGTGTTGTCTTTCCTAAAATATCCTTATTAATCAAGTGTAATGATTATATTTATCATTATTAGAAGAACTACCTTGAAAAAAAAATATAAATATAAGAGAAAAAGTGGATTGAGATCTTATACCTAGGATCAAAATAAAAGTCAAGTGAAGTCTTATATTAAGGATCGGAGGTCCTATAAAACTTTTGTTGAGAAATTCGCAGGAAGGTCTTGCGCTTTACTAGAAATCTGATATTGGCGATTTCTTTCCCACTTTAACTTTCATTTCTATCCAATTAGTGATATTTTAGAGACTCGCTAATTTTATGACCGTTTATGGAAATAAACATATGCAGGACTAAAAGAGATGGTGGGGAAGACATTAACTGGTAATTACCATAGTGACTACATTACCAGCCAATCAACTGTTGCAAGAAAATTAGGAATGGTCATTGGAACAGCTGTTTTGCCAACCACCACAGTCAGATTTTTATGGGGCATCATGTTCCTATCAGTGTTGTGTATATATAAATGCCGCAGAAGGCCCTTATCAATGTATGAAAACATTGAAGATTTCATACGACTTCAGAACCTCAATCCACTAAGGTACTCCTATAAGGATCTGGAGACAATGACCAGTGGTTTCAAGAATAAGTTAGGTGAAGGAGGATTCGGCACTGTATACAAAGGGAAGTTAAGGAGTGGATATGATGTTGCTGTCAAAATGCTGGGTAAATCCAAAGCCAATGGCCAAGAATTTATCAGTGAGGTGGCAACCATTGGGAGGATTCACCATGCTAATGTGGTACGCCTTGTTGGGTTTTGTGTCCAACGGACAAAGCGTGCTCTTGTTTATGAGTTCATGCCCAACGGATCACTAGATAAATATATCTTTTCTAAAGAAGAAGGTATCTCTTTGACTCTTCAAAAATTACACGAGATATCTTTAGGAATAGCTCATGGAATTGCTTATCTTCATCATGGTTGTGACGTGCAAATATTGCATTTTGATATCAAGCCTCACAACATTCTACTTGATGACGATTTCAATCCAAAGATTTCAGATTTTGGACTCGCACGATTATATTCTTCTGATGATAGTGTTGCCACTTTGACTGCAGCAAGAGGGACCATAGGATACATGGCTCCAGAATTGTTCTATAAGAATATTGGGAGAGTGTCCTATAAGTCAGATATTTATAGCTTTGGAATGCTTTTAATGGAAATGGCTAGTCAAAGGAGGAATTTGAATCCACATGTTGAATATTCAAGCCAGCTTTACTTTCCTCTATGGATTTATGACCAATTTGACGAAGAAAAAGATATAGAAATGAAAGATTTGACTGAAGAGGAGAAAAACCTAGCAAAAAAAATGTTCATAGTGGCATTATGGTGTATACAATTAAATCCAACAGATCGCCCTTCAATGAATAAAGTAATAAAAATGCTAGAAGCAGATGATGCCAAAAGCCTTGAAATGCCGCCAAAACCTTCTTTATATCCTAATGAAGAAGTTTTGGTGAATGATGAAACCTCCTCTAGCCTGGCAGCATCAGCCATCTCTAGACATTCTAATAGTAGTCAAGATGAGGGTGCAAGCGATGGGAAATGAAACGTTGCAGATGAAAAAGGAGCTCAAATCCGGTTATGTTTTGAACTCCAACATATCACTTTTTATTTGCTAACAACACTTAGTTATTGCCCTGATTTGGATTTTGCTTCCAATGATTTAGTATCTTATTTTCGTTGTTTAATACTCCCTCCGTTCCTTATTATAAGAGACATTTGATGCTTATAGCATGTTCCTATATATAAGAGACACTTAAAAGTTGTTTCTACTTTTTTGTGTTGATTTCCTATTTTACCCATATTTATTGTCTCCAACTCACACTCTCTCTCCCTCATACTTCTCTTTCTTTTAATAATTTAATTATTCTCTCTCATGTTCTCTCTCCTTATTAATGAGGGTAGTTTTGGAAAAAAAATTATACTTTTTACACATTGATTGTTCTTAACTAATTTTAACTGTTTTTTTTATCAACGTAAATCGGTTATTCGTCTCTTATAATAAGGAACGGAGGGAGTAATGATATTAGGGTATTGACAAACACTGATAATCTCTTTCAAGGTCATAATCTGATATCTCATACATCAGTATGAGAGTAGTCTAGTGAAAATGCAAGTGATGACAACTAACAAAAGAAATAACAAAAATAAAAATACATGTTGAGTTTTAAAATGACTTTCCCTCATAAGATGTCATTGAAAAAGTAATCATTTTTTTAATACCCGTTGAATTTCAAAATGACTTTCCTCTGTAATATGTCATTGAAAACATAATCATATTTCTTCTTCTTCTTCTTTTTGTGTGGATTTGGATGGCGAGCATAAAAGCTGATTAATAGCTAATTATCAAACCCCAAATCTAGTGCCACTAAGGGCACATCTTTTGCCACTAGACTAAATGTTCTTTAGCAAAATAATAATCATATTTCTAGATCTATAATATAAGCACAAATTCATTTCTAATCTATTTATAATTTTTTAGACATTGATTATTATATGTGACCCTATTAGGATGCATAATTTGTAATTTTATACATCACACATTCTTAAGGCCAACATTATTGTAATTGATTTTCTTAATGAATAATTGTCTTTTTTTTTTTCCTTTTCCTTCCCTTGCTTTTTTTAACTCTTAATAGACAGGGCATACAAATGGCATAATACTCTCGGAATAATAAAAAAAAATTAAAAATATTGACCCGATACCATAATTGACTTCCTTACCCAATGTACAGTCTTTCGTTAAAGATAGCTTTATGAATGCAAGTGGCACGGGAAGAACTTGAAAAAATGACTATAACATATCTATTAAATTTCAAAATAATAAATGGGTGGTGCTAATTATTTTGATAAAAATATCATTTTAAAATTTAACTGATATTTTTTGTCTTTTTTTTTTGAAACATCATATTGACATTGGTATGAAATGAATCTACATACTATTATATTAGAAATTGATAACACATACCAAATTGAATATTACAAGTCAACTGTTACGGATAACAAGTTTGTAGGTAGAAATAACAAGTTTAAATAGAAGGACAATTTAGTCTTTTAAGTAATATTTGTTAATTCATATTTAAGACTTGGTTTTTGGCAGTAATTTTTTGAATTTAAGATTCCAAATTACTTTTTATATTTTTGAGGGTCTGTATTTGTTTTTTTTTTTTTTTAAATCCATCGTTTTGCTGTTATGTCAGCATAAGCTGGGGAGAGAAGTATTTTGAAATGGAAGGACTGTGGAGAAAGTTTTACTGTAGAGACAGCCTCAAAAGTGAAATCATTTGAATGGTTCCACTTTTTTCTTTAAAAAAATATAAATGTCAATATAAAAATAATCAATACAACAATACATTATACGAATAATCACCATCACCTATTTATCATTTTAAATTTTAATAGATAATTTATTATCATTTTTCCTAATATAAATGATGTGCTGGGAAAAATAAAAGATAATGCAAACTCATTAACATGAATGAATTTTAAGATTTTAAACTTGATTTTAAATGTAATTCCTTAATATAGTACTTTAATACTGCCTCAGGTTCTAAATATAATTTACACTATAAAATAGTTTTATATGTATAATATGAGGAATAGATATTTTCTATCAGATAGGATTTTGATTTTTTCCCTTTTTCTGTCAATAGTATGCTAATAAAATAGTTGCTTATTATGGCCTTTAGAACCCCAATAAATGGGATGAATTATCTTCCTTTTATATAAAGATAAAATAGAAAAGATAAACATTAAAAATATCAAGGTTGATAATTGGTAGGAATCAAGGATATAGCGAAATAGAATTAGTAATAAATATTTAAAAAATAAATTGTATATAGACACAGATATTAATATTGATTGATATCGAGATTAGTTTTTTTTTTCCTAATTTAATCATCAATTTCCGGTAGAAGAATTGTTCAGTAATCACGTGTTTCATCGGAAAAATAGAATGACGGTTTCAAAAATTTTGGATAAAATTGAAATTAATTGTTAGATTTTTTTAAAAAAAAAGGGGCAAAAATATATATTTCATCATTTAAATTTATATAATAAAATAGGCTAATCCTGGTAACATGACAAACACAAATTCAAATCTCTTTTAACAATTATTACTATTTTAAAATTTAAAATTGATATGTTAACATTTGCAAAGATTTTTAAAATTAAGTGATTAAATTAAAGTACCGTATAAAAAGGTTAAAATTATCGGTATACTCTTAAGAAAAGGAGATTAAGCCACATCCAGTTTTTTCGGATGTATCTAATATCTTAAAATATTTTTTTAAATACGTTCTATATTTTAAAATATTTTTTAATGCATTCAGCATTTTAAATTATTTTTTTAGAGGGATTCAGTATCCTAACATATTTTTTGATACATCTAACACTAAGGTTAAAAAAATATTTTAAAATGCTGGATACATCTGAAAAATACTTCAGAATGCTCGATCTATCACAAAATAAATATTTTAAGGACTAGATATACTAAAAAATATATTTTAGTGTGCTGAAGGCAAGTTAACAAAAAAAATACGGAATCTTTTTTCTCATTAGAAAAGTACCGTATTGGAAAACTATTATATGTATTCTCATTCTCTGAATTTCTGGATTTGATTCATCATGGAAAAAGAATGATTCGATTCTTACTCTCCTTGTTCGGTTCTGGATATATATCTATAAATGCGTCTCCACATTCTTCTTCGGTGTTTCGGTGAGGTGAATTAAGAAGAAGAAGAACTGCCTCAGGGAAACCTAACAAATCGAGGCAAGTTCAGAGGAAAGAAAAATGTTGAGCGCCGATCTTCCTGAAGAAATTGTGGAGGAGATATCGATGAGGCTTCCTGTGAAATCCCTACTTCGATGCAAATCCGTGGCGAAATCCTGGTACGCACAAATCACTAATCCATCTTTTATAAGTAGACAATTTGAATGGTCTGATTCAATCACCAAAAACCGCCGCCGCCAGCTGATATTTCGATTGCACAATGCCTCTCTGAAGCCTTGCATTTCTCTAATTTCCGACCAGGAACCCATCGATATAGAAGTGCCGTTTCCTGAGAAGGATGTAGAATACATATTCGTTTATGGTCAATGTAATGGGATTTTCTGTCTCTATGGGGTCTATGGAGGAGATAAAGCTGGTGAGGCCAGCTTGATTCTGTGGAATCCTGGAACAAGAGGTGAAGGTTCTTCCTGCATCTCAGAACCAACCCAGAGACATGGTTTATATCATATATGGGTTTGGAATTGATCCTATTACAAACGATTACAAGGTTGTTCGATTTGGGAACCTGGCTTTTGAAGGAAGAGAACAACCTCCAGTTGAGGTGTATAATCTCAGTACTGGTTCTTGGAGAACCATAGATTCTGTTGTCCCTGCTTTTCGATTGTGTTATCCAAAATGCAGGGCTTATCTGAATGGGTTTTATCACTGGCTAACTGAAGATAATAATGATAAGGCCATTTTGTTCTTTGATTTTGGCAACGAGGTGTTTGGGAAGATTCAGTTGCCTCCTGAAATTGATCAATCTTATGAATCAAATGTTGCTGTGGTTGATGAGAAACTTGCTTGTGCTGCTACATATAAGATGACCAATTGTAGATATGAAATCTGGGTGATGAATGAGTATGGTGTTGAGAGTAGCTGGAGTAAGAAATTTGTTATTGGACCAAACCCAGAATTTGGATCATTTTTAGGATTTTGGGGAGATGATGAGATTCTTGTTGAAAATGAAGGTCATTTGGTTTCATATAATATTAAGAATCAGAAGATACAGAGGCTCGAAATCCTTGGAGTTCCAAAACTGTTCAAAGTGTTTGATTATGTGGAAAGCTTGGTTCCTTTGAAGTCTTAAGAACATCATAAATTGAATCTTCTACGTTCATTCATTTGGAGAGAAAAGGAAACCATATAAAAGGAAGAATGTTACATAAGATTTATATCTTATTTTTGCACTCTTCCCTTTATCGTTCCTATCTTTTTTTTTTTTTTGATGCATTGTATGCATTTATTTTGTGGATGTGGGAGATTCATGCTGAAATAAATGTAATAGTTTATCATATGAATTGGAAATTATTCTTGTATGGACCGACTTTATCAATTTATTTTGTGTTGGCATTTCTGTTTTTTCAAATCTTATCCATTTGTACTTTCCCACATTTTCCATAGAAATCTTAAGTTGATCGTCTATCACAGAATTGATATTTTTTGGTACAAACATAATCTTTTTTCGTCAAAAATAACATCATTAAAAACTTGAAGAGCCCCACCACAACATATAAAGTCTAGGTTCATCAAAATTCATCTCATATACTAATAGGCATTGAATCTAGTGAAAAGAACTACTCCTCCGATACTTAATATAGGATCCAATTCTTGAGTTGATTTTGATCCTAAATATAAGATTCATTTCTCATATTTATCAATTTTCTCTAAATTACCCCTATGGATACTCCATCAACCATAATCAAATAGAAGAGGGAGATGATGTATTAAGAAAGATTATTATGGTGTTTTAAGAAAAATGTGTCATTTTTCTTATAATTAACTAACTTAACTAACTTCCTTAATCTAATCAAATTAGTTAAATGAGTCTTATATTAAGAACCGGATGAGTAGTTTCTTATAACGTGATGAATTGAATTTCAAATTTTTGCTAAGAGAAATACACACTTTTAGTATCCAACAGTATTTCAAACAATATTACTTCCAACAACAAAACTGAGAAGAAGAAAAATCCATCTGATGCCTAATGGGTAAGAGGTGTGAAGCTTACAAAATTTGCTCTATATGAAGTGGGAAGACTTATCCAAATTATGGGCAATAATTAATTCTTTCCTAGGAGCGTGGGCTCTAGAGACCTGCCAATGAAGAATAATCGAGTGTCATGAATCAGGTTTATAAAAGTATGGTGATTATCACATCTCAAGTTCGTAATAACTTTAAAAACGTCACCAAACAAAGTCATTTAAACTTGATTATCGCACACTGGATTATTTCAATTATAAGACGATTTTTATGCTTAATCTAAACTCACACGCAAACTATTTAAACTAATTTTATTCGTTATGGATTCATAACCAATTTGATGAGAATAAAAGTATAGAAATGTAAAATTTGACAAAATAAGAAGATTCAACCAAAAAGATAATTCATAGAAGTAGTTTACTATATGCTACTAATCAATCCTGGCAATATATAATGTGTGTGTGTGTGTAATACCAATCAATAATCAAGAAATGGAAGCAAATGATATTGACAGCTTTGAAGTGCCTCAAAAACTGAGAATATATTTTATTGATAGTGGCATATCAATGTCCATGCTCATATGGAGAATGAGTTATATCTTTCTATTTGGTTACATTTTACGGCTGGAAAACACGAGTAGCCTGAAAACCAGAGTACCTTGTTGGCGGAACGTGCCATGTTCTTTGGAAGAAACAGCCGCAAAAGTCTCATGTATCCAAGACAATCCAAGACAGCGTTTAATAATACTTCTGTCTTTAATATAAAAATTAGTTAATTAATTTAAATAGATTAAAAAAATTAGTTAAGTTAATTATTTGTAATAAATAAGTATTATTTTTTCTAAAATATCCTTGCTAATAAAAAATATTGGTACAAGTGGATTGGGGTCTTATATTTAATATTAAAATAAAAATCAAATGAACTCTTATATTAAGAACCGAATATAATTTTTCTTCCCCCGAAAAGAAGAAGCCTCTGTCTCTAATCCCAATATGCATGGTCTCCAACTCAACAATTGTGTTTGATAAGAAGCACTAAAGGGGTTGGGGTTAGAATTTAGTTTAGAAAAACCTATAAAAATAGTTAATACGAGAAATTGCTTGCTAATTAAAAATTAAACCTGCGTACCAAATAGGACCTGCGCATATTAAACAAATAAAATGAAATAAATGAGACGCATCATGAAATGATGCTAATAAAAGGATATTGAAGAGGATAAAACATTTCCCCTCTTGCCTACCTTTTTCTTTCTTTCTTTCTTTCTTTTTGGAATGAAAATGTATATTACTGGAATATTTTAAAAGGGGAAAAAGTTACATCAAAAGTTCGAGTTTTACAGAAGAGAGAATTACAAAGCCAACTGTTTACGAAATTCTGCAGCCTGCATGATATGCTGGGAAAGTGACAGCACTTCATTAACCAATCCATGCGGTTGTATATCTTCCTTGGCAAATTGCCTTCTATTGTGCGCAGACCATGATTTCCAACATAACGTTCCAAAAGTGATGCACCAAATAGTATTGGTTCTGCTGGTTTTTAAATGTCTCTAGCCGAATCACCTTTTTATTGGATTCGTAGTGTTTTTTTTTTTCACTACAAGAATTAGATTGACTTGCCAACTAAGAGTGGGCTGGATTTGAAGTAAAATCATGTTACGATGGAAGCATATTTTAATTTAAAACATAAAATCAAATATGCCTTGACATTTTTAATTAGAGACTGACTATATTATAGAAGTTCAATCTACATTCACATGAAAAACTTAGTAATGTGACATGTAAGTTCTCCTAGTCTAAAAGATTTGCCAGCAAAGGGACACTTGTTGCGAGCTCCCCAAAGCTTCTAGTTGATGATTCCCTTTTGCTTTCCTCTCTCAGGCTGGCACTGCGTGTTTTTATTTCTCTACAATGCGCGTTTTAAACCCATTCATTTGATTTTCTTTTCTTTTCTTTTTTTTTTTCCCTAGATGAGATCCATACATGTGCTAACTTATGAGTCCATCTCATCAAGCTAACGGTGTTAGTGTCATTTCAGATGAAATTAATGGTGTGAAGGCACCAGAAACTAACGTTTTATAACGGCCAAAATTTTAGAGACTAATATCATGTATTTGAAATTTCAGAGACCAATGCTAAAGTTTGCCTAAATTTGAGGGACCACAATTTGTATTAATCTTTTTTATTAATTCTGATAAAATATATTAAAATTACTTCATAAATAACATTAGAGAAGCTTTTTTTTGCTAAAGCATAGGTATTCTTCTATTACAGGCAATCTTATTCGAGACACTGTCGAGCACTAAATGTGGGCACCTCTCTCAGTGGGGATTTAAGTCTTAATTTATCACGTTGTGAGAAACTAACTCCTTTCGTTAGACCCAACCCCGTTAGTATTAGAGAAGCTTTTTTTTTTTTTTGGTAGATTTAGAGAAGCATTTTGTTCACGTATAGTAATGCTCGTGACATGATTGAAGGAGCCCAGATTACCAGCCATGCCTCCACGTCTGTTTGTTGGTGTTGTGGATTGGGTGGGCCCATTTCATATTTGTGTGTTGGGACCAAAAAGCCCGTAATATTTGGGCCGAGATGCGGGCTGGGTCACATACATAAAGGTTCGGCGGGTTCCGTTAAGTCCCTCGTTTCCCCCAATTTGCCACGTCATCGTAAGATATATGGAACATTTTTTACAGGTGCCGGTGGCTGTTGGGCTGGCCGGTGAAGGGTATTTTTGTCTACCCATTATCTTTTTAATCACAATAAATGATCAGGATCCTTTGTTGAGATTTCATTAATTCAATTAAAGTCTTTAAATATAATAAATGCATTTATGGTTGGCCCAAAAAAAAAAAATGCATTTATGAATTCTTCAATATTTGATTCTCCTTCTTTTTGACCTGCAATATGTGATTCACCTAAAACTCAATATACGTTCCTTTATATAAATATATATAAGAATATTAATATATACAACTAAAAATGTAGTAACAATTACTGTTATTGAAAAAAGATGCATACCACATTATACGTGTTCTTTTTATATTTTGGCATAAAACAAAGTCTTGCTTTATTCCGGTCCTATATATAAAAGCTAATTAAAAAATTGATTTTTATTTTAAATATAAAATCTCAATCCATTTAAATTTAAACAATGGATAATTATTGTATTAAATCCTCAACAATCAACATCAAACTGTGGCGTCTTATGAATATTTATACACAAAATTATTCTTAATGTGTATCCATCGCTTATATTAACTACCCAAGTTACTGGGAATGACATGGGAACAAATTTTTCTATACAATCACACTACACTTAATCTCTAACAAAATAATATCAAAACCGAGAATTATTTCATTGCATTGATAAGAAAACATCATCGATACATTAAACATAAGATGGACACATGAACTAAGAAAGTTTGTCTGAGAAAACATAAGTTCAACAGCTAGTCTGACTCTACATTAATGATGATCATAACTTAAATCAAACTATACCTGACTATGAGTTCAATCAAGGCTTTGAATTTCAACCATCTTCAAAGAAACCAAATCTGCAACATAAGAAGTTGTCAAATTTTTGGCAAAATAAATTTCAAAGCCAGATCCAGTCAGGTCCAGTTTAAGGTATGCTTGAATTGAGGAGAATGGAACAAAAAGTTTGGTTTTGAGCTTCTCCCTAGATTTAGACTCAGATCAAACCTTTCCTTCTCTTCTATCTCCATTCTCTTTAATCCAAACATACCCTGAAACTTACTCGTCCTCTAACACAGATAAGGGGAAAATGCTTTCCACCTATCTGAAAGCCTGAAACATTTGAGGGGCAACATGAATTGGAAATTGCTGGACTTGCTGATGAGCTTTAGGGTTTTATGAAATCAAAGGTTGATCATCCTCTCCCACAAGAATCTCATCTTCTTTCCAAAATCCCAAGAACATCCAATCTCCAACACATGGTCCAATTACATATCTTTTATTCCAAGAGGCTTCAACCCCATACTCGCCCATAACCCAAATCTCAATCTGAATATCCATTGCGTAATTCAAATTATATTCCTTAACATAAGCAATAGAGTCATTGATGACAGCAACATTACACTCAATAAGTTGATGAGCTGAATTATCAGTATCATCTTTTGGCAACTTCATTTTCCAAAATGCATCGTCACTCATGTCAAAGCAAATAATGGCTTCATCAAAGAGACCAAGGGTCAACCAATGATAAACCCCTTTTAGATAGGAGCAAAATTCTGGAGAAATTAAACTATAAACAGACTCAGTAACATTGATCATTCCCCATGAATTGGTACTAAGATTATACACCTCAGCTTTAAAGGGCTTGCAGTCTTCCATGTCAAAGTCCATCGTAGTCAAAATTCTAACAACCTTATAGTCATTTGTCCCAGGAACAATACCAAAGCCAAGTATGACAAGGTCATCTTTCTCGGAAACTTGATGGTGAGGTGAAGGAAGGACCTTGACCTCCCTCGTTGCTGGATTCCACAAGCATAACTCATCTGTGCAGTCAAAGTAAGTATGATGAAGACAGGAAATACCATTGGAAGGACCATAAGGTATGATTTCACCCAGGATTTTGTTCGAGAGCCGCAGAAGGTCCAGATCAATTACAGACTCTAAGAGGTCATCAGAAAGCAATGTTGCAAAAAAACCTTTTAATGTTTCGCTATGAAAGGCCAGCATACCTGGTTGGCTTTGTGAGAACTGAAAGTGTTTGTTGATGAAACTATGGCTGGTGATTAGAGCATAGGTGCATTTGTTCACAACTTTGCAGCGCATCAGATCTTTCACAGGGAGTTTCAAGAGGATTTCCGCCATGATATCTTGGGGTCGTTGCTTGCATTCCATTATGTTTTTGTGCCCCTTCTGGCTTGGTGATGATGCAGAGCAGCGAGTGTATATGGCACAATGGCAGATTACAAAACCGTCATACTCTGCATCTATCAGCAGTCAACAGTTGACAAATCACAGCATATTATTGATTTACTAATTTTTATATCATACTAAAATATAATATTATGATTTTTCAAATAAATGTTTTGATATGTTATTTGATTTTGTTAAGATTTATTGCTATTAATTATGATCACTAATTAAATATATTAATAGCTATGAAATTATCATGAATTACTGTTAAATGGTATATGAATTTTATTGTTATCTTATTTTTAATAATATATTCGAGAATATGTTTATGATGTACCATTATTTGCATATGACATGTATTGTTGGGTTAAGAATAGAAGGAGATTGCATGGATATAAATTACCACGTGGTATGTCATCACTCGGTGCACAGTGGATGGCACTTGTCAGGGCCCCTTCTTCCATGTTTTCCTTTGGTCAGGAATTCATTGGAGCTATGAGACATGTGACACCTCCCTATTCACAAAGGAGGGGAGCCATAGTCCGAGTTTGAGCTCTATATATTTGGCCGAATATATCTCTAGTATCGGTGAGCTTGGAATAATTCAGTAAAATGGATTAGTTCCTATCGGACTATGTGTTAGCCTATGGCTCCAGTCAGCGGTATAAGGATGGACGGTGATATAAGGAAGGCAACATATTGTATTATTTTTGGATATATTGAAAAAAATGAAATTGAATTGAATATATTAAATCCATGATTTTTAATATATACATATATACAGACATAAACAGATTTTTGATTTATCATATATGTTTTGCTTGTATATGTTAGAATTTCAGTAGTTACTGAGACGTTTGATCTCACCCCTTATATTAACAATTTTTAGGCGAAGGATCTAGTAGGAATCAAGAAAAGGCACCACTGGAGTGAGCCGTGAAGACTTTTGTGCTCCTCAAGCACATGCTATGTTATATTTTTATTTGCCATGACTATAAGACTTTAATAGTTTATTTTGTTGTGTTAGAAACATTTTGAAATTATGACCTGTTTGGAGTATTAGTAATGTATGGATTTTTATATGAAATATTTTATCAAGTATATAATATAATTATGAGGGGTGTTACAAAGGGAACCTTCTAACTAAATAAAAAGTTTCACATCTAAACTTTGAAGGCAGTGGATAAGATAAATCTACGAGTTACCTAGAAATTATTTTTATGTGTTTTTGAGATTTAACTGGGTTATAGAAGATAAAATCTGTCATTATTGTACTATTTACTAGTAAAAAAATTTATTTCATAAAAATGTTCAAATTATAATTTGTTAATGAAATATTTTTAAATTAAAAATTTTAAAAGTGATTTATATTAAAAAAAATTGGCTAATAAAATATTAAGCACCAACTAGGCAAAGTGATTGCTTCAATCTTAGTAGGATCTTTTTTTTTTTTTTGGACCAGCAAGTAGGATCTTGATCTTCCCCCATTCATTTGTAGGCATTTTGGGTTTATGAGCGAATGATATTTAAGATACTTGAAAGCTTTAAAAGTTAAAAAGTAGTGCTTTTGGAATTTTCTCTTAACAAATGAGATAATGTTGCTTGAGTATCACAAATTAATATAAACAAAATTAAAATATTTATTTTGAGCACTCAATGGCCAAACACCTCATATGTTTACACGTGTTGTTATTTCCATTAACTTTTTGTTCAATGATTCTTGCTTTGCTAATTTGTTCATTATTTTGACCCAAAGCATATGTCTTTTACATAAATTGGAAATGAATTTTCCCTGCTACACTAGATTTCGTATGAGTTCTACTACTACCTCTTGTGCTTGATATAAAAGTTAGTTGACTAATTTAAATAAATTATTAAGTTAGTTATTTGTAATTATTAGGTGTTATCTTTATTAAAATACTCTTGTTATTAATTATGTATATTAGCTATAACTACCATTTGATAGAATCTTTAACATGTACAATTACTATAAGGATTACTTTGAAAAAATAGATAAACATGAAAGACAAAGTGAATTAGGATCTTATATTTAAAACCAAATTAAAAGTCAAGTTAGCTTTTATATTAAAAATCGGAGGTAGTATTTTATAAAAATAAAAATAGAACCAATAAAAATTATTTTGTAAAAGGTGAGTCAACTTAACCCACCAAGCCTTTGTGATAGTGATATAAATCTTTGCTAATTAAGATGCTTTTCTTTCTTTTTTTGACCAGCAAATTAAGATGCTTTTCATACCAGTGAAAAAAAATGCTTTTAACATCTGATTTTTATATATTTTTTGGCCCAAAAAAATCTGATTGTCATTGGTCATGTAATAGAAAATCTTCTTTCCCCACGGTGAGTCGTGGATATTACTAGGAGTATTCATGTGGCGTGTTAGCCCGCTATGTCTGTCCAAACCCAGTAGAAAAATGCCCAACCCTATCCAAAAACATCCCAAAAGGCAGTTTCAAACAAGGTCATTTGTCAAGTAGGACTGGGCATCGAGCATGGTATGCCAATTAAAAAACCTATGTTAAAATTTGAATTTTTTTTTTATAACGACTCCTTCTGTTATATATTTTAATTATTGATGAAAATGTCATGGGTAACATTTTTTACACCAGTTAAAAAACTACGTTAAAAATACTCTTTTGCACTAGTATCATCTTCTAGAATGGATAATTTTCTTTGAATTCAACATCGCCTTCAAGAATATAAGCTTGTTCTGTGCTTGTCTTCACATAGGGCTACATAAGACAATAAACAAATTAGCTTGGAGCATCCAACCAAAAGAAAAAAGATTAGGTTTGGAGCATGATAGTTCTTCAATCAAACGTCATTAAAACCATCCAATTCTCGTATTTGGTACAGTCCTAAGATCATCATAAAATAGCATACATACCAACCCATATATATATACTCCTCCGGTCTTTTATATAAGACCTAATTATTAGATTAATTTTGATCCTAAATATAGGACTTATTTCTCATATTTATTAATTTTTTCTAAATTATCTTTATGGATACTCCCTCAACCATAATTAAGTAAATGAGGGACGGAAGATATTAAGAAAGATGATTATGTTATTTTAGGAAAAACATGTCATATTTTTATAATTAAATAACTTACTTAATTTTCTTAATCTAATTATATTAGTTAAAGAGGTTTTATATTAAAAACCGGAGGAGTATATATTATTGTGTCCTTCACGACAATAAATAAATTCTTTGCTAGCTAAGATTATTGGGAATTTGTGAGTTAGAATTAGACTTGGAGGTAATGAATTGGGTCATTGATTATTCTGGTTTTAAAAAACATAATGATTCCAAATTTAAATTTTATGTAAATAGTTTTGTAACCTAATTGAAAACTCTTTTATAAATGTGAGGTAGTGCGTTAAATCCCGCTTAAAAAAGATTAGAGAGATGGATTATTAAGTTGTAAGGATTAAGGGATTATTTGTACATAGTCTGTAATTTATAAGAGTTTTGTGTAATTTAGTTAAAGATTTAATATTTTGATGAAAATTTTTTAGAATGAAACGTTATATATTGGCAAACAGCAAGGAAAGAGTTTGGGTGCCAATGATGGGCAGATCTAGACGGTCAAGAACTGATGATTTATTTGTTTTTATTTTTATAAAATAATTACTTTAATAGATACAAAATCTAAAACAAAGACAATTTTTTAGCTATCGTTTTTTTTAAAAAAATAGTTATTTTTATTTAAAAATAATTATTTAAAATTTAAATCTTTCAATCAGATCTGAATGGTACAAGATTGATATGCTTAGAGTACCCAGCTATCAACGCAATAACCCGCCGCCGCCATATATATTCTATCCGAATGAATGGTTTAAATATTATAATTGTGGAGGAAGTGCCAAATAAGATGCGAATCAACAAAGAAGGGTTAAACCATGTTATTCCCTCAGAGGTCATATCATCGTAGCTATGGAGGGTTCAATGAAACATACATTCCTCAACATCCCTCTCCTAATAACTCCTATATATACAACACCAAGGATCCCCCTTATACAAACACAAACCCTTGAAAACATAGAACTCTCTCTCTCTCTCTCTCTCTCTCTCTCTCGTCTCTCTCTCTCTCTCTCTCTCCTCTCTCTCTCTCTCTCTCTCTCTCTCTCTCTCTCTCTCTCTACTCTCTCTCTCTCTCTCTCTCTCTCTCTCTCTCAGAGTGTGTGTGTATGCGTATATATATCTTTGAAGCTATATATATTTACAGAAACTAAGAACAAGCTCAGAGAATTAAGTTGCAGAAGTAAGTTGTGGAAACGGAGGTGACAGAAGAGAGTGAGCGCTTGGCTTTTTCTTGCATGGCCATTTCATGCTAAAGCTGTGTGCTTGCTCTCTTCTGTCACCACCTCCTCTCTCTTCCTTTCTTTCTCTCTCCCTCTCATCTCTCTAGTCACACAATAATTTGCCTTTACTACATTTAACTTATGTATGCTTCTTCATGTACGTTTGTTTCTATACATGCTGATCCAATTTGTGTCGTTTCAGCTAAGTTATTACATGTTTTCTGAAGCCTGCTTCTGTTCCACAACAGATGCAAACAAGAAGACACCATACTGATAGATTGAAGCTGCACACACACACACACATCTCTGAATCAAACGATTCTCGATCTGTTTGAGGACCACACACACACAATTGTCTTCTTCGGGAGACATATGTTGTACATGTTTTAAGATTTACTTATGTTCTATCATGGAGGATTCAACGCCTGTTCTATATATATAGAAGATATGAAATTGTGTGTGTGAGGAACATTTTAGTTATACGTCTTGTGTAAATGCATAATTAAAGGTGCAGTAGTGAAATTATTCTCTCTTGAAAGAGATACCTATACATGTAAAAGTCAGCAGAGTGCCATGCATGCCCCCACCACATGAAATCGTGTCGTCATAGACACACACATATATGATACTCCTCCGATACTTAATATAAGACTTAA